AATTGTTTTTCTTATCTGTGATTTTTTTTTCATCATAATGCCATAACATCGTAATTATATCATATTATTATAGGTACCAATACTTCGAGCACTTTGAAAATAAATGACAAAAATATTGTTAGATACACGTTACGATAATACACAGCATTCTATAGTTTATCGTGACACATTGGTTGATAACCGCAGATCTAGGAATAAACTTTATTTTTTAGTATATTTGGTAATAAATTGGTAAGAAGTTATTGAAAATGTAATACAGCAAATAAGCCTGGTTGGTTAAGTAAGGTTTGGTAAATACATTTGCAAGAATTTTGTTTGTCATATCTTATTATGATAGTCGAAGCCTCAAAGAATCACACATTAATATTTCTTTGACTCCAAAAACTTTGGGACAGCACTGTTCCTAAATCGCGAATAACAGTCACTGATCTGAGTAAAATGCCACCTATGTTATAACTCGAATTAATTGATTTCCTGGATCGATGAAATTAAAGACATTATGAYAKATATACCATTTAAAACAAAGTAGATGGGTACTCAGAAAATCTATTTAACTCCTACTGGAGTGCGATAGCATCGTCATCTGATTTAAAATGTGCACAAATATTCATACCATTTACTCACTAATTTGTTTCTACACTTACAGAAAATTATACTATTTTAAACAACTTGCCAAGTCATTAATAAATACTAAAARTAGAAGTTCTTGTCTCAAGTGGCACCCTTGAAAAATCTTGAAAGAATCTTTTATACAACTAAAAACAGAGTCTCTKAGTCTTACCAATTGATCCATACTATGTATGAGGATAATCAAGACAATGCATTTAATGATTCAACTTATAATTGTATCGCCTGTTCTAMAGCATCAATTTAATGAATAATTATTATWTTAAGCTATTTARTATAGTTATGTAGTTTGTATAAATGCGAGAAACTCACTCTCCAGAGCTAGTTGTAAAAGCTGACGATCTTCTTCGATCTGATATTAAACTGGCATCATCCGCTAGCATYGAAGACACGGGAGAAGACGATCTTCTTTGCTTTTGGTGTTTGCCTTTCCTAACACTAAGCCGCTTATGAAGTATCGCATTTACACTAGCTGAATAATCCTCATCGTTTTCTAAACAAAAGCCAATTAAGAAAACACATATTAAAAAAACATATATTTGCACTAMGCGTACRATTAAAATATCAAATTCTAGTAAAATTCAAGAAAATGGATTAATATTCTTTCATTTTAGAACGCAGATAATTAAAATGACATTGTCTAATTACTGCATGTTACATAATATCTATACTATGTTTGAATGTTTTATAATATTTATTAATATCATTACCTTGCTCTATGGTATAAACTATAAACAATCAATATAAATATTTCATGATAAAAGTCTGTGTCTCTATTTGTCTCGATCTTAATAATTATATCGTCTTACTGTATAGGTATGCTAGTAAATATATATAATATATGTTCATAAATAGATTGTTTTATTTAATCATAAAATAGTTCAAATATAATATTGTTATGTAATTTAAAAAAGTTAAAACGAATCATAAACAAAAATAAATATTTGGAGTAAATGTTCGATGTATTTTTTTTTTTTGTAATTTTATTATTTACATCAGCAGTTATAATATGGATCAAAGTACAGACCACTGGTTAAAATTTCTCAACGAATCGTTGTCTAATAATTCATATTGTCCATAGCATTTGACATTTGTATAAATCGTTGTGAATGAATAACGTACCGTCAGAATGCGCCCGGCTGGCTGAAAATCGAACCTTTTCCACTGAATGTCCTCTGCTAATACTCATGTCGTCGCCGAAAAACAATTCTGCTGTCGATGAATCACGGCGTCCCGGTAAAGTCAGCCCCTGTCATTTTCAACCATCACAGTCATAATAATCATAACATATAATATTATGTAKCCATATAGGTCATRTTACTTCAAAGCGAACAACATCTTGAAATGTTTAGACATGGTATTATTATAATGTTTACTGTCACACACCGTGTGTGTGTGTGAGTGTGTAGATAACTTGTACATATGTGCAATATACATGTTATAATTATTATTAAATTTACAATACTTATAAGTTATAAGTTATGTAATAATATACATAATAGCGTACATGAAACATCGTTCGTCCGGGGGATGCCACGCGAGTCCGTTTTGGGTGAAATCGCGTGCAACGTCTCCCCGACATAGTACAATAATTGACGGTTGTTGTACCGCCATTAAGCAGATTAAACACCCCCTCACTGCAACCCACTACAGCCGAACATATACCTTCTCACAACCCGGAGAACCCCGCCGGCCGTCATCCGACCTCACCGCCGCTGCTGCCAGAGTTAATTAAACGTTACGCGGCGCAACAGTAAAATTATTATTATTACGCAACCACCGCCACCTGGAATTCGTGTCGTTTTTAGATTTCGCGAAC